TGCTATTATAATTTCTGGTGATTTTTTATCCTGTTCGTCTAATGTTAATGGAGTTTCATTCATTTTCATGTTTCATTTTATCTGTTTTATCCTGCGTTCCAGTTTAAAAAATATGTACTTATATAGAGATGTGGTTTTTTTTTTTTTGGTTTCAATTATTGCTATTTGTATGTGTGTTTGCTTATATGCATCTAAACGACGAGTATATATGTTTTTAATTATTGTGGCCAGTTTGTTTATTATAACATTGCGCGAGTAATACGATTGTTTTTTTTTTATCATTTCTTTCTTTTTTTTTTTCAATTCGAAATTTTACTTCCCATTGTTTAACATCAAATGAGATAATCGTCATTGCTGTTATAAATTCAATTTGTGATACAAACAATAATAATGCTTGTAGTTTATATTTGATTATTTTTGGTTAGCACACATCATTTATGCAGCAAAACAAATATATATATTTTTTCGAATACAAGTTTCTAATTTAGAGTCCAAAAATTAATAGGAAAATTTTTTAATTTTTAGTTTAACATTTATTAGCAAGAGTAGTAAAGTTAAAATGAATTAATTGGAAAAATGTGGAGAAAAAATGGAAAAAGTATTAAATGATATGAATATTATTTATCAACTCATTCGTAGCCTTTGAAATCAAACTACTAAAATTCTGAATTTATCTCTCTTGCTTTAACCTGTATATAAGCTAATATTAGTAACAGAAGTAACAGGTTGATTTCACCAGTTGCTAATTGGTTTTTGTATGTCGTTGGTCTCGGTGGATTTGATGAGGAAGAAAAAAAGCAATAGGAAGATGACAAAGTGTTAATTAGATTCATGGGATGAGAACTGAAAATTAACTGGAATTAAGAGATAAATGAGCTAATGCTTTGCCTAAATCTAATTCTCGATCGGTTTGTTCTAAGATTGTAAGCAACAGCAGAAATCCTATAAATAAAGGCTCCATTCTGCTACCTTTGATATTTCAAAATTTAAAGTTAACATATTGTCCTCCTACATAAAATGACAGTATGTTTTGGAAGTGAAAGATTTATGCAACATCTGACAGTAAATGCTGTTGTGCAAAAACTAAATTTGCTGATCTCACTTGTATTTCTTCATTACACCTACCGCTATTTTATTTTAAAGTTTATTTCCATTCATGTTTACCCATTTTCTTATTCAAGAATTATAAAAAGAATTATACGTAATACATTTTGAAATTATTTGATATATCACATCGATCATCAAAATTATTTTAAATAATCACCTGCACATAACATTACTTCAAAAAAAATTGATGTAATTTAAATGCATAGAAAAATTGAAAAGTATTGAGTGAACATATGTGTTAACATATAAAAATATATACATTTTTTATGTTTGATGGACAAAATAATCATTCTATGCATTTTCTTTTTCCATTTGAATCAACCGTGTTTTTACTTGAAATTCTGATGTCTTAATGCCATGAATTATAATTAATGCATTTAGCTGTTTAGAAAAGTTCAAAATTTGTAAAACATTCGACAACATTTATCAATTTATTACATATACATCTTTCTGTACGTATTCTTTAAAAATGGTTTAAATGATGCTTATAAAATTAAAAAATGCAATAATTAATTGGATATATGCAACAAAATGCAATTTAAACACTTAAAAATAGTATGAAATGCAAAGTAATAGTTGAATAAATAAATCCAATCGATTCTCAAGAAATGCTTCTTGAGGATTAAAATTATTTTTTTAATGGATTTAATGTTATTAAGTGATGAATTGATGTTTTAAAAAAAGATTAACGTCAAATAAATTAATTAAATATAACATTTAACTTAATCCAATGGGATACCACTTTGATGACAGTACAATATTACATTCATATTGAACAGACATGTTGCATCACTCTTAGTGATAGCACTAATTCCTTGTCCTGCGGGATCACAAAATCGTAAGCAGCGATCACCAACTCCTAATTTATTATCTGCTAAATTCAAATGATCACAACATTTACGATTGTCCTGAAATAAACAACCGATCATAAATCAATCTAAATTTTGGATGTTTTATGAATTTATGCTTATCCTAATTTTGTAATTTTTTTTAGTACCGATAATATTTGACTAATTGGCCCTTATTTAAAACTTTGAATACAGAAATAGTTTTCCTTGATGACTGCTAGAAAATGGAAGTATTATCTGT